GGCCGGAGCCCCCCGGGCGGCCCTTCCCGCCGGGCGCGGGGGGAAGGCGCTGCTGGGAGAGGCCGCCCTCTGCCCGCTCCCCAAACCCCCCGGATTTGTGGCTTTTCCTTGTATTTTTTTTTAGGGGGGAGGGAAGGGAAAGGCAGATTGACTTGTGGGGGAGGAAAGGTTTGTCCCTGAGCAGCACTTGCTGGACTTTCGACCAAGACACTTAAAAAGCTGGGCGTTCCCCACCTTCAGAGGAGGCCAAATTTGCCTGGCCAGGGAGGAGGAGGGAAGGCAGGAGCAGAGCCGCGCACGCACCGGCGTGCGGGAGCTGCCGAGCTGGTGCAGCATGTGATAATAAAAGGGAGGACGGAAGCGAGCAGAGTTTAGGAGCAAGCAATGAAACGTTAACTGCCTTCTAGCTTCAGAAAACCCTATTTTGATGATTTAGTTACATATTTTGGGAGCTTTAATTTCTGGGAGAGTCAGAGTTTTTATTTTTAGTATTTAATGCAAATGTAGGACAGCGCAGCTGTACAATTTGGGAACTGAGAGTGGAGAAGCTGGAAGAGCTGCTAGCTGTGTGACAGACCAGCTTACCGCTCCATCTCCAGGCCCAGCTTTCAGAGAAGGCTCTCTCCTGGGAGATAAGACTAGTGTTAAGGAGCTGGTGGAGAGAAGACAAGCACTAAAAGTTGTAATTGTGAGTAAATCATGAAGGAGAAGGTATGGGCTGAATTTTAAAGTAACCTAGTTCAGATTACCTTCTCTTGGCTTTTATATTAAGGTTTCTAACTTAACCCAATTCAGTTTCTGGAAAAAGGTGTTGTATTAAGAAAGCAAACTTAGATTTAAAATATTCTGAACAGCCTGCCCATCTCCTTGGTTTGTGAGGGTGGCATAAAGTGCTGCTGGTAAGAAAGAAACAGTCGAATTCTTCAAAAATGGTGTCTTTAAAAGAAATGACCTAGAGAGTGCAAGATTGGTTCTGGACCTTCCTCTTCCTCCTCCCCCATGTCAATAAATTATTTTAGGGTGAAGTAGGAAAAAAGAAGGTTTAGGCATCAGAGTTGTTAGAAAAAAATCTCTTGGGTGGCTTCTGGCAAGTCTACCAGCTTTAACATTGAACTCTGAATTTGGAAGTTAGGCTTCCCTGATATAAGAGCCATATGTGAAACTCTTTGTAGGAGCTTAAGCAGTTTTATTGGGTAGTTTATTTAAAAAGTCAAGGAAAAAAGGGGATAGAAGACTTCTTAAGAATTCTTGTTTGGCCACTGTGTTCAAATTGCCGTACCGGAACGGATATAAACAAGACAAGAAGAGCTTCTCAGTAAGGTTGGTTTTTGTATATGTATTTTTTTTCTAGTATGCTCATGATTCACCCATCCCTCTCGTCTTCCTGTAAGGAACTGCTAGCATAAGTGATAACGTTCTGCCTTTTGCTGACTTCTGCTTTGAGTGATGAGCGACTGCCTTGGTGTCAAATGAGTGTAGCCCAGTGACGTGGACAGTGTTTCATACTGGATGAGCCCTAAACCCTCTTAAAATAAGAGCCTTGATTTAGGAGGGTAGTAGAGTTTTCAAGCAGAACTGATAAGGGGGTTGCTAAAAAAGAGTCTGGCTACAACAGTGCAAAGCAGTTGCTTTCTTTGCCTTCTAGAATTGGAGTGAAGGCTAGTACAAGAATTCGTGGAACTTGGGACAGTATTTCCGTTGGGACAGGTAGGGGGAGAAGAGGCTCAGTCCTCTATGCGGTGCACAGAGACCAAGCTTGCTATATGTTCAGATTTGTATCTCGAGATTGATGGACGTTTTAACAGCCTGTGGTAACGGGGTTGTGGTTGGCCTGACTTTCTGGACTTGAAAAAGTTTGGGAAGCTTTGCTGTAGTCAAATAGTGGGTAATTCTGAATGGGGGAGGGCTGAGTAATCCTGCTCAGGTGTCTTTTTGCTGATGGAAACAGGCATATTGATAAAGTCAGCTGGGCAGTGTGTACTGTCCTCCTGATAAGCTGTTGAGCGTGGTCCAGGGCTCTGATCGTTGGCCTGGGCGGCCAGGATCTGTCAGGCCCTGCCACTGACTGACTGTGACGTTGGTCATAACGCCTGCATTTCGGTTTCCATGGCTTGAGCGTTGTGTCACGTGTTGTTACGTATTTATGTAGGGAAGGCTCAGGGAGAGCGCACGGTGGTGGTTGAATAGCTCCAGCTCAGCACTGATTGGAGTTCCCTCTCAAGAAAAGGTACTATTTCTGGTTTCTTCAACATGGTTTTGATTTCTTTTCTACTTCAAGTTGGTGTCTGGCCCTGATGCTGGCTAAGCTGTTTTTTTCTCTTTGAGCAGTGTGCACAACATAGCTTTTAACCAGCTCTGGAACTGTCAGTGCTCCCATAAACTTGGCCTGTGTCCGTGTCAAGTGAGTCTAGCGCTTGGGTGAACGCTGGTGGCTGCTTGGCCCTTGGCAGCAGCCTGAGTTAACCCTGGGCTGCTTTTATGCTGCTGTTATGGCCCACTGGGTACTTGCCTGGCTGAGGACTCTCCTATTCTTTCTTTACAGCCCACTTCAATATTTTCTGTACTGTTTTCTTCTTTTCTCCCCCTGTGTTTCTGTGTGCGGTAGCTCAGGCTGAACTCCCACCTGGTGGTGGTGGTGGTCTGTTTGTTGTGCCTCTCAGGCTCTGCTTGTGGCTGAAGCATTGTGGGAGAGCGTTCAGATGCCAGCAGTAACCAGAGAGATCTCTTTTTACAGGGGTCTGTTCCTGGGGCACCCTGACGCACGTGTGTCTGGGAGCATGGGACTCCGATGCGTGGAGAGGCTTGGTGCGCAGTTGGGCTGTGAAAACCAGCTGTTGTCTACATGGGCTCGCATTCGCTGAGAAGCGGGTCAGGGGGAGGGCATTAGATCGGCATGTGAAATCAGGGTTGTAGTTTTTACGAGATTCCTGGCTTTGCCACTTGGTGGTAGGAATTAGAAGAGGGAATTAATTGATGTGAAAAGCACTTTCTGCATTAAAAAAAAACAAAAAAACAAAAAAACCTTCACTCCCCAACCAAATCTACACATCAAAAAAAATCCCACCTCAAAACAGCTGATAGGACTATTTTTACATCTGGTTTGTCCTCATGGGGTTACAAATAATTTGTCTAGTGACGTAAACCGTATTTAAATGTAGCATGGCCGAATGCTTCCGTGAGAGCCTTAGCCCTTGTCTAACGTAGCTCCAAGGGCGGTTTAAATACATGGTGCTTATCTGACACTGTACACAGCAGCTTCTTTCTCCTGGGAATCTTGTGCCTGTATATAATGTTCAGTGTATGGTGCAGACATGGCAGAAGCTTCTAAAGTTACTGCTAAACAGGTCAGAGGGTTTTTTTTTAATTTATTTTATTTTTTTTAATGGCCAGGCCTTGCCTCTGGTAGAGTTTCTAGTGATGGCAGTGTAGTTTTCAACTGCAGCTGCAGATAAAATCAAGTGCACTTTTCTGGACTGGGACTAGTCTGGTCTGCTCTAATTAGAGTAGAAACTTTTAGATGATTTTTCTGAGCTATTGACATTATTGTACTGGCTCAGACCCACTGTTCTGTCCCTAATGCTGACCCAAATACAAAGTGATCCAAAAGAAAGGGTCAAAAACCTCCAAACAGGACGATTATGGATTAATCTTATTTCTTCTCAAGTCTCTTTTGGTGATTGCTTTACGCTCTGTGCAACAGCAACTATTTATATGTGCTCTTTTCTAACTAATCTCTCTGTCTTGTCCTCTAATTAATTTGTCAGCTACCTCTCCCAAGTGTACAGTGTTTGGTTGCGAGCGTCTTTGGACAGGAGTCGAGGCAGTCCCTCCATGTTGTGTCAGCCGTGCTGTGAGCGGAGGGCTGCGGGTTGTCGTGAGCAGTGCCTGCTCGTGTGCTGTCCTGGGAACTGGGAAGGTGCGCTAACTGTATGGCTAATTTTTTGGATCTATGTTGCTGAGAAACATGCAGGAATCTGGTTGTTATGTCAGTTCTGGTTGTTATATCAGTTCTACTCATCTGGTGGGTTGAAATATGAAGCTTGGGTATATTTAGGAACTGTATGTTAAATATGTTCCATTTCTGGCCGGGTTTGGGGAGCTGATTGGGGCAATCTATCCTGCAAAATGCTACCCTATTTCTTACGTTTTAAAGCTCCATTGTATTCGGAAAGGGTCCAACATCTCAAGCAATATGGAAAGGAATATTTTGAAAACAAGCTAGTTTTAGCTGCTGTGGATGTCTGTCAAATCATAAAATGCTCTCCCAGCCTTATATATAACAAATACTTTAGTGTGTTAGATCTCTCTGCGCTTGCTAGCAGTGATACAACATAAAGGAAGAAATGCCTGAGTGCTTTTCCCTCCCTTGTGCAAAAAAAAACCCCTCCTAAGCCAAAGGTAGGGTGCTGTTCCCTTCCCAAAAAGCGATTGTGACAGTGGAGGAGAAGGGCCAGCTGCTAAGGAGAGTTGAGGCAGAGATTCCCGATGCTGGCACTGCTGCCCTCCTGTGAAGTCAGAGGGGTTGACCAAGCAAAATTTGACACTTTGTGCTCAGAAGAGAGTGTGAAAGGCAGTGAAGGACTCGGTCCTTTATGGGTCAGCTGGGGTGATGGGTTGAGGAGGTTGCTAGGCAAGACATAAAACGAGTTTGTTTGTTTTTTTTCCCCTTTCCTGTTCTGCTGATCTTCCTGTGTCTTGGGGATTTGGGGTTCTCTGTGAGTTCACCTAATCCAAGGTTGGGGCAAAGTCTCTTTACAGTTTTTGAGTAGTGCCTAGAGCCCAGAAGCATCCTTCACTAGTCTACCTGGTGAAACTGAGATGCAAACAAGTAAGTGTGTCATCATGCCCTTTGGGGCAGGGATAAAGAGTTTGACTAAGGTTTTCTGGTTGCTCTGTCACTCTTAAAGTCTATGTCTACTTCAGTTAGAAACGCTTAGTCTAGAAACACTTAGTTGTCTGTTTAACTTCCAGGTGGAGATGGAGCTGTTTCTAACCCGGAGTTGTTGCAAAGAGCCCAATTCCAGCCCTGCAGAAAAGCAGCAGCAAAGTGACTTCAGTGGAGCAGTTCATACGCTTAGCTTTTCACAGGATGAGAGCCCGAGGCCTGTTCTGCAAAGGCCCAAGCTCACGAGGAACTTCATGCCTCGGAGTAGTTTCGCTGAAGTTGAGTAGGGTGCGGGTGGATGTCTCTGCGCCGGCTAGGTTTGTGGCATAGGATTGCTGTAATTGGAAGAGACTGGGGAAGGTGGGAGATGTCCTCCTTTTTTCTGTCTGGGTGGTTAAGCTGTTTTCCCAGCGTAGCTGGCTTCCTCTCTTTGTGGGGGGGTCTTTCATAGCAACAAAGAGGGAGGAAGCAGGGTGTGTTTTGTGTGTGTGTTTGACTATAACCACAGGAATTGTCAGGAGGAGAGTTGGGGCGAGCAACACAACTGAAATGAATTGCATTTTACAAAGGGAGTTGCAAGTCGAAGGTGTCTCTAAAGAGGTGAAGAATGAGAGAAAGAGATCTTCAGATTAACTACTACTGGGACTGTGAAACCAAAACTTTCAGCTGTTTGTTTCTGTTTGCGTTTCCTTCTCTTTGGTAATCACGTTGAATTAGGAAAGTTGGTATTTGGGTTCTTGTACCAAGCCCGAGGCATCATGCCACTGTACATCTGATAGTGTGCCTGAGAGAGACTCTTCTGTGTTGGGAAGATGCGAGTTTGGCAATTAGAGTGTTTATCCTTCATACCCTGCCGTGATGAGTGTTTTTACGCTTCACAAATTAAACAAGATTAGATCTAGTCAGTAAAGAAAATGCGACTAGGTGTCTCTCTTGTATCTGTTTTCAGGGAACCATGTAATGAAACATGCAAGAGGCTGTATTAGGGCTGTTCTGGAAAATTAACCTCAAAGCAAAATTTCAGTTTTTGGTTGTATTTTTTTTTGTGTGCATGACTTCTGTGCACGTTCAGACAATGATGTAAAGAGGTAGGTTTTTGTGGTAGTCAAATGGCAAAAAAAAAAAAAAAAAAACCCTCCTGCATGCACATGGGTTAGCAGTCAGATGTCTTACAAAGAGCAGTAAGGCTTGAACTGATTAACCGTAGAGCACTTTGTAGGCACCAAAAGCTTGTTTTTCCTGTTCATGTTAAATTATTGTAATTATCTTTGAGTGCTGTGTAAAGTCTCCTCTTGAGTCTGGGATGTGATGCTTGTTTATGTGCTGGCTACAAGGGTAAGGCAAGGTAGGGCAGGTGCGATTGTGGAGCGAGCAGAGGTTTTTGGGGTGCTCTGTGCCATGTGTGCGGAGGTGTCACTGTAGCTGGGTCAGTCTTCCTCAGTGCGATCCCACGCATGGCCTGAAGGTTTGCTCTTGTCCTCCCTGGGGAGGAGCTGGGCTGCCACCTCTCCATGCTTGAGGGTTATTCATGAGCAGAGCTTGCTGCCCGCGCGCTGCGGCACCAGGGGGCAAGGTGGCACAGCCAAACCAGTTATGTGGGCGTGGAGCAGCGGCCCTGTCTGCAGCATAAGGACGATGAACTGCTCATGTCAATGTCCCATGGTGCCTGCTGGGCCGTTAGTTTCTGTGCTGTGGTTACCAAGAGCACAGTGTGAGAACCACTGGCAAAAATTGTAGCCTGTGTGAAGTTTGGCTCTGCTTTGTTATGAATAACACACAGGTGATAGATTAGAGACTCTATCGCTTGTGGAGTCTGTTCATGGTTTCTTCACAGGTGTCTGACAGCAGTTTGCATAGTCCGTTCACTCTTCAGGTAGGCTTTTTCCCACAACCGTGGGGGAGAAAAGCACACTTAAAAATAGTAGAATTGTCCAGAAAGCTAAGGGCAAGACCAGCATTGCCATTACACTTGAAGCTCACTTCAACCTCTGGACTGTTGAACCATGTAGGCACCTCTCTCCCCCTAAAATAGATCCAAAACCCCAGAGAGGATCCTTGGCTGCTGTGAGTTGTTGCAGAAATACCACTGGTAGATCTGGTGTCATTTTCACTGGGACCATGCGTGCTACTCGTTAACTAAGTTTAAAATACAACTTACTCTTCAAATCTTTCAGTAAGAGATCTTCCTGCTCCTTACGCTCACATCCTTGATGACAGGACCATTCCTAAAAAGATCAAAGGATTCTAGTTTTTTTTGTGTATGCACAGCAAAACAGTTCATAGTCTTCTGATCCTGTTAAGTTTAAAGTGGGAGGAAAGCCAAATTCGAGGGGAAATGGTTC